GGAAGTCACTGCAGGTGCGGTTGCTGGTATGATAGCACCATGATGAATTGCAAGTGGCTCGTTAAGGAAAACAACATTGAGGCGGCGATTATTCCGGTCTATAGTGAGATGTTTCGGAGTCCGTTGCAAGACTCTGAAAGAGTCAGTGTAGGGAGGCTGGAGAGGGCGCCGCACTGCGTCGGTGCGGAGGAAGACGTGAGTGCAGGTAGAGAGTCCGCTGTGCATTTGCACATCTCTAGTCTGCTCACGGGGCGAAGTCGGGTCTAGTGAAAGCATGTGTTGAGGTAGGCAGGACGCAAAGTTAGGCGGAGCCATACCAGGTGATGCGAGAGTTGAAGCGAATTCTCCCGGCAACTTTAGCCTTGTGCCGTAAACCAGCTCCGCTGGTGCGCAAAACTAGTCAGCTTTGATGCTGCTACGAATGCCTAAGAGTACGAGCGAAACTTTATCGCTCCAGCTAGCGTCGGAGGAGGCGCAGAGCGAGGCTTCTAGCTGGATATAGAAACCTTCAACTAGTCCATTGGCTCCGGAGTGATACGCTGTCGTATGAATGCGGTAGCAGCCTAAAGACTTGCAAAACGTATTGAATTCTGAAGATTCGAAAGGCGTTCCACGGCCAGTTGTGCTGGTGCATGGGCATCCGTAACGCGAGACCCAACGAATCAAAACGCTTTGGATTATACTCTCAGCTGTGCAGCCTGTTACGGGAATGACTTCTGGCCATCTGGTGAAGTAGGCCGACACAGGTAAGCATGTATCCAAATCAGCGTGAAGGAGGCAGATGACCCACTACCTGTAAGTGTACATACGAGCACCGAGTCTGAGGCGAGAAATGAGCCAACTTGGCTGCGGATGTGACGATGTATTTTGGAGAACTGACATTGAAGGCAGGCGTGAGCCTTAACGCGTGACCAAACGAAACGTTCGGTGACCCGTTTCAAAGATGCAGGGATATCAGGATGTGATAGTGCGTGGAGGGCGTCGAAGATAGTACGCCTGGAGGAGACAGGCATGTGGGGTCCAGGTCAACCGGTGTGTGATTTGGAGAGGAACAGGTTGTACATGCACTCAAGTGTCTTCAACTTGGGACTAAAGTCGATGCCATGGCGGCAAAATAGACGGTAGGCAAAGACTGTAGGGTGAGTTTGATGCATGAGAGAGCGTCGGCGAATGGATTATCGACATCTGAGAAGTGACGTATGTCATCAGGGAACTGCGTGACAAAGTCTAGGTGCATAGTTTCCCCGGGGGAGCATTTTTTGGAGGCAGAGTTTAAAACGAATATGGTCAGTGTAGACCATAAAAGCGCGGCCTTCGAGTGTGTTACGGAAGTGACGAATGGCTAGGTAGCTGGCGAGAAGTTCTCTGTCAAACATGCTGTAGCGGGGTTCCGCTGACTACAGGCGTTTGGAGAGAAAACCGAAACGTTGCCATGGCCAACCAACATGTTGTTGCAGGACAGCTCCTACCGCGACGTCTGAGGCATCAGTCGTGCTGTAAATGGGTACAGTCGGTGCAAGACCGTCCGATTGTTTGGGGTTGCAAACATCTAATTCGTTGCTATTTACAAACATTGCACACATTTTATATAAATATAAGTAGAGGAATGAATAAATGTATATCCCCCAATTGTACATGAGAAACACCATCGAAAGCCTGGTCAGTTTATACAATTAGCAACTGTCTGACTGTGAGAGCAATAGTTGCATTCATGACTAAAGTGTTGTGCTGTCTAATGGTGTCACCAGTGCATCGGGGCAGACGGGAATCTAAGAGCATTATCACAAGTCAAATCAAGAAATCGTTTTTATGCACCCATGAACGGTGAATATCCACCTGTAACACACACCCACACACGATCGAAACGGCAAAGCGAACAACACTGTAACCTTACAATGTGCTCCAGGCAGTATGCTTCCCTTTAGCAGCGAAAGCAGTCTAATAAAAGCTTATGGGTTTGTTGGAAGTCAGTCATGAGGCGATAACAGCTTTTGTGGCGATAGCAATACGGCACCCACCGGCCGGCCATCACCTACGTCCAGGCTGTTTTTCTCAATTGCTAGTACAGTGACCCACTAACCACCTCACAGGGAACCATTTTGCTGGCTTTTCACCTGCAAGAATGCTGACTACCGATCGATCGAAGCATGACACGTTCAGTGCTGCTGTGGTGTCTGGCTAACGTCAAGTGCTCACAGCCGAAGGGCTTGCGTTCCGTTGATCTTGCCCAGCGGTCGAGGCATGACAAGGCGATTTCGGCTTTGGTGTTTGCTTACGTTCAGTTCTAACAGCCGAACTGCTCGGTGTGATTTGCGATCGTATAGGCACATGTCGCACCTCTGTGACCCATCTCACCCCTGTCGGCAAAGCAATTTACACGCTTGGACAGTTATCATTTCAGCGTACTGGAGTACGTCAGCACCTGAGTGCAGCCGCTTCTAACTCCGGACGTCCAGTGCGGCTGTGTGGTCTGACCAACCTTCACTTCTTACCGCCGAACAGCTGGGTGTGCTCTGGACCTTATACACACATGTCGCGCCTCTGTGCCCCATCTCACTCCTGCCGGCAAAGCAATTTTCGTCACTGGACGATCAGCACGTGAGTGCAGCCGCTCCTATCTCTGGACATTATTAATAACGCACCCTGTACTTGCGCGAGTTTGCGATGTGATCAGTTTTGTTTTAGCCTGAGATGATTGATAAAACACCCTTTCACAATATAACGAAACCTCGCACTTAGGTAGCTGGGCTGTTGCGTTTGGCTGCAGCTCCTTGTAACACTTGCCAACGTAGGGTAGCAACTTCCTGGACAGGATTACTTGCGTTCATTCCTTGTGCGCACCATAAATATATTTCATTGGTTAATCGTTCTTGGACTTGACACAGTTTTGTGCATTCATTGGCTCTTAGGGTCAAATGTGCATCACGCCCCCGGCCTGTCACACGTCGCGAGGTTTCGACCATAGTTCAAACAACGACCTAGAAATCACTGGCTTTTGCGCCGGAGCGGCTGTCAACACAGATGTGAGATCTACTCCACTGCTACTGCATCACCACCTGCGGGCGAAGCGACCCTCATCCACAAACTGCACGTTAACCGCTTGGGCCACTTTGTTTTGCAGGTTTCCATCCAGTTGACAGAACTCTTGACGAAGGTGTTTCGATACTGCGCCTCAACAGTACTCATTTCACGTCTCCTCTCCCGTTGCCCAATTGCTGCCGTTTGATTTCACCCACTCTGGGCCTTCTCCCCCCCCCCCCCCCCACAGAATCGAGCGTGCGCGCCAGCGTGATGATCATGAACACATTCGCCGAATTTCCAGGCCTCCGGAGTCTGCGTCAAGTGTCACACGGTAGTGTCGTGTTTTACAATAATTCACGGCTATGCTACGTGAGAACTTTGCCTTGGTTAATCACAGGTAAGCACAATCAAATTCACCGGACTCTGAACATTGTGATGGATGCACCTCTCTCGGTGACAGTCTCACGTCTAAGCAGAAAGACACGTAAATCACAATGCGCCGTTTTATTGGCCTACTTGCTCATCAGTGTCTCATCACTGCCTGCTTTCGGATTACAGACACGCTACACAAAGTACCATTAAGGTTTTCAGAGTATCCCATACCACCCCAAATCTCTCACGCTATCCGCTTATGCGGGCCACTTTTCCGGTGTGTATCGGCAGAACACTCGAACTGGAATTTGATTTCCCCACGACCGCACCTAGCCATGCAACCAGCTGGCACCCAAAAAGGAATAGATCACTGTGGCATTACGTTGCAGTCAGCCAGCAATGCACAATCGCTCGGTTTGATGTGCTAGTGCCTGATTTCACACTACGGTAAGCGGAGGCCTTTTGACTTCCGATAGCATCCCCTTTGAAAATAATACCAATGCGGAGATTCAGACAGACGGTTATCCTCAACAATACACTGAGTAAACATACTGAATGGGTGGTACATGTTTTTTTATATAACTAGCCCGCAATCTTTAAGTGCTCTGGAGCTGAGTCGGTGAGATGTGGTGCTCAGTAAATCCTTTGAGAAAGGCGTGGTTTTCCAATCCCGGCCTTCAGCAGTCCAACTAAATTGCTGTGGTTGTTGTACGTCTTGACAGTAATCCGGAATGCAACTAATGCATCCTTTTACGTTACCTATTCGATTGGTTCCACTTTGCAAATCGAATCGGGCTGGTTTTTGTCGGCATTTATTGACACGAGGTTCGTAGTAGTAGATGTCAACGTAATCCACACGAAAAAGTCCTAACCTCCTTGTCTAATTTACTTACCTAACGCGAAATTTTTCGTAACTACCCCAACACATGCACGACCGTGCTGCCCTAAAGATTGTGGCATTTTGAAGTAGAGTTACGAGATCGAGGCACCTAACAGACATAAAATAGCACTTGTTTCCACATAGCTTAACCAACCTGTACACCTGTTGTATCCTTTGCAGCCAATGTTCCGCAGACAGCTGTCTCATTGGACTATGCTAAAATTTCTGGGGACTTACATGTCTTGGTCGAGTCCGGTCCGTCCGAGGAGGTTTGTGGTAAGTAAAACTTTGCACACACAGACTTACCATCATAGGCTAGATTTAATCCACGGTGTTCCGTCGACGTAAACAAACTTCTAGCTTGGCCCCATAGTCATGTTGGCCAAGTACTATTTCTAGCATATTTCGTGAAGCTTATCATCTTGCCACTATATTACCTCATAGTGTCATTGGAAGTTGATTGATTGCTTAGGCTAACCAAAGGAAGTAGACGAGTGGAATCCCTTCATCTGCAGCGGTTAGCACATTTGTGAACGGCACAAATGACCTATTGACGAAGTTACCGGCGACCATTTCTCTGTTATGGGTTTACATCCTCACCACCATCTACTTGCCAGTGTATCGATCTGCCGAAGGATTGTGAACTACGTGCGGATGATGAGTATCTGCAACTCGAAGGCATCAGTGTCAGGTACAGTATCGCAGCTCCTTACCTGTATACCCTAAAGGAAAAAGTGGTATTTGTACCTCCAAAGTAACGTGACTCAATAAAACTCTGCCGGTAAAGGGTAGACGCGAGTCACATTGAGAACAAGTGTTATAATAATGCAATTGGATGCAGTGACACAACGTTACTTCGCGAGCTGTTCTGAGTAATGCTATTTTATATATATATATATATATATATATATGTATATATATATATTGAATACTTACCTGATTGTACAATTGTCCGAGTGCCGCAGTGTATGCAGTCGTATAAAAAGATTGATGAAATAATAGAGAGGATAAAAAAGTGTATGCTGTCGTTATTGTGTAGACTCACACAACATGTTCGCCATTGCGTACGGCTTCTTGACATGTCCTATAGGGTTTCTAGCTCGTGATCTTTATGCCCCCAACCAGGGAGTCGGGAGCACCTAACCATGGCCGCATTTGAGGTCAGTACCTCGATACTTTTGGCCTAGGCCATTCATTGGCCACCTTCGCTTGCAGCGCGCAAAAAATGCATGGTGAAGCAAACGCTCAGTAGGCACGCTGTGCACGTGTCCAAGCCACTGAATCCTATGCAGTGAAATTATGCGGCTCAATGCCAGAATTGCTCAGAAGGCAGCGGTGATCAAAGACAGCCAGCTTCTGAATGTCCTTTGAACGAACGAGCCAAGTCTCGCACCCGTAGAGCAGGATCACCCTCACCGTAGCATTGTAGACTCAGCCCTTCGTGGAGAGACTCAGGTCGTGTTGACGCCAGAGAGGGCGGAGATTAACAAACGCAACCGGAGCCTTAGGGACGAGCAATGAGATCTCATCCGTGAAACCGTTAAGGTTGATGCAGCTTCCTAGGTTAACCAACTTGTTTGCCAATTACAAGGAATGACTTGAAAGGATAAGTGTGAGGGCAGCTCTTAACCAGTCCTGTAGGAAGACCTTACACTTCCAAGGAGCAAAATTATTCCAGACTTGGAGACAGACACCCCCAACTTACACTACACCTTTTACGCAGCCTGTGACGAATCGCAAATTACAGTGATGTCGTCTGCATACTCCAAATCGCGAAGTCAGTCCCCGGGAATCGGCTCAATGCCGCCGGGTCCGCAGGTCTCCAGAGCGCTGTCCAAGATGTAATCTATAGCGGAATTGAACTGGAAGGGTGATCCTGGACAGCCCTGTCACACGCCACTTGACATACAAAGGAGGTGGGTGAATGTCCGCTGTACACACGCACTTTGTTCGGAGCCTGAGAGCAGATGGCTCGAAGAATGTTGACGTACTTCTTAGGCACTCCCCTTCTTTAAAGAAACCTCCAGTGCAATTTGGGTAACTGGGTCATACTCGGCTCGTAGATCGAAGAAGAAGACCGTTGGTCTTCCGAACGTTTGACGACGCACGAGTATTTGGCAGAGAGTAAAGATCTGATCGACACAACTTCGGCCAGTGTGGAACCCAGCTTGCTCTTCGCATATGTTCTATTTGTGTACCAGGCTGAGCCTCCTTAAAGTCAAGGTAACGATCACTTTGTATGCAACGCGAATGAGACTAATCCCTCTGTGGTTAGCATAGTCTGACGTGGCACCCTTTTTGTAGACAGGCACTATTTCCACCAGACTCTAATCAAACGGGATTGCTTCGGTGGTACAAACCTCTTGGAGGAGTCAAGTTAACTCCCTAACAAGTGATGAACTTACATCTTTGGAAAGACTCGAAGGCAGTTTGTCTGGGCCAGCGGCATTTTAGCGCTCTATGAGGCGAAGCTCATGAGCAACCTCAGCCTCAGGTAGTGGTGAAGCGTTCACAAACCAGAGAGCACTACTGATTCCCGAATGCGAGATCATCGGTGCTGCAGGCCAATTGAACTACTGTTTGAAGTCCAACGGACAAATTGAGGTTGGTAGTGGATTGGTCGGTCATCAGTTTCGCGCAAAACTTCGCTTATAGTCGACATTTTGCAAATAGTGGGTCAGATCAGGTGGGAAAACTTTCGTAAATTTTCCGAGCTGACCGCCTTCTCCGTAGCAATAGCCCGTTGCGTCCATCAGACCTCGCGATCCTCTCAGAGGAGATGTTTGAGTTCAGCGTGGGTGATCCTGCCTAGTGAATGATATTTAACGCCAACTGCAATTGCCCGATGAGCTTCGGGAACTTAGAGAGGTAGTGCAGAAGTCCTGTGGTTGACAGCACTACTGGTGTAACCATGGGCCAGGGTCTCAGAGTTGTGCATGACGCTGCAGATATGTGCTCAGTGCGTTTCGACGTCAGAGCAAGCGTTGCTCATGAGATTTGAAGTCAACGCATCCTGAAACGCGCTGAAAACACTTGGAGCAGAAAGCTTAGCTATGTCAAGCCTTTTCCGGCGGCACTGTTGGGAGGCACCGAAACGTCAGGCGATCTTGGCACACACGAGCGCGTGATCCGAAATAAGGTAAGTACTCTAGCTTGCTTTTCAATTCACTATGCTGCCCCGCCAACAATGACTGATGACGATGTGGTCAATTTGCGTCCATGGCTGGCTAGTAGTCTGAGGCCTCCAGGTCGCGCGTTGCCGCTAGAATCGCCGAAAGCTATTACTCTACAGGGAGAGGCTGTAATCGGCGCAGAGCTGAAGTAGGCGATAGGCGTTGTCAGTTCTGCGAATGCCATGCCCATGTTGATCACCAAGTTCACGCTCTCCGATCCCAAATCTACCGACCTGCACGCTTAATTCCACTGCAAGCACCGCGATGTCTTTGCGGCGCGTTTTTCGGTGAAGGTCGAACAGTTGACATCAAACTCTTCTTTAACTAACTTCAGGCCGCAGTTTATGGGAGTGTATGTTGCCACAACGAACAACTAAAGTGAGACTAGAAAGGCGCACTGAGGTCTCCAGTCGGATCGCACCGAGTCGACTCTTGAGAGATATCCAGTGTAGTATCTCGACCTCAGCATATGTGCTCAGCGCAATCTCCACGCAGGCAAGACCAGCGGCTTCGGCGGTTGCGTCTCCAGACAAGCGCAGTGTGAGAATGCCATTGGAACCCGCAGATGGAGAAACCATGTGTAGTGTCGTACTGAGGTTCTATCATCAGGTTTCGGTGAGGCAGTAGACATCACTTGAAGTAATCTCAAGCGTGCGAGCAAGATCTGTTTGTGGTCCGATCTGCATCAGCATCCAAACGTTAAACGCTGCCAACTTGAATTTGGGAAAGGAGTGGTTGCAAAGGTTTACCAGTATTATGACCTAAATCCGTGATAAGTATGGAGAGAACAGTCGTCCAAGGCGGCACCGTGTTATGGACTCCGAAACGGGGGGGGGAACCAAGGATGAGGGAGTTGAACAAAAGTGGAATAAAGGGACCGAACTGTGGTGCGGTAGAGCGCGATACAGCGTGTTCGCCCACCAGAAGCTCGGTGGAGGGTGGCATTGACAATGAGCAAAGAGAGAGAGTCAGAGCAGGACGTCGTTGAAGCGTTGTCCCAAATGTTGTGTGGGCATGTAGCTTCTCGGTTGTCCAGGCCGAAAAAAAGGTTGACTTTGGGGGACCCCAACCAGTGCTTTAGGTCTAAAAGGCCTGACCCGCAGGGCAGCGAGACGATTGATCTGTATCGCACACCGTTAAGAGTCGGCTACCGGGATGATGGTAACACGGCTTTCGGGTAGAAATAAACTACTCAGGACACCCAAGAAGCTAGAATGAAGGAAAAATTTTCTGGACCAAAGTACTCGCTGAAGAGCATGAAGGCCGTTGACATTCAGATCCCTCATAGGCCTTCGCAGAAGACGGTGGCCATCTAGCTAGTTCATCCACCTTCCGTTGGATACTCACTTCTAATCACAGAAGTGAGTGGTCAGTGACTGTATAGCCTATCACATTGGCTTTGACACAGCGTCTTACGAGCTCTTGTGATATTAAATGTGTCTAGGTGACAAGCGCAATACCCACCCCCCACGCTATAGGACGCTGCCGCTGATTGTCCGCACCGGCTATTCATTTTATCTGAGAACAACCAATACTTCGTCATAGTTACTTTCGCAAGGAAGGCCTTCCCCGATCCGTAACCTGGGGGCTCGCCCGGTGGCGTACAGTTTCGCCGAACCAACCAGTAGTCACCAACGGCTCTGTTGAACATGAGTAAGTTAAGCTACGTTCAATCGACATCTGCCCGTCATCCGGTGCCCAAACATTCCTCGGGATTTGTTAATTCGCGTGTTTGCCGGTTCAGTAAGATTACGTGTATTGTTGAAACTGCGCCGTCAATTCCACTGCGGATTCGAATACTTTACATTAATCTCACTTTCGCAGTTAGCTTTCTTTCGCTATTTTTGATCGTGCGCGCCCCGCTACAACACATGCTATATCATGCTATATCAACCACAGATGTGGTTGATTATTAAGGAGCTTGGTTCTCCTCCACTGCGTACAGACGAATGTGGAGTGATCCATATTGTCAACAGGTGCTGGTCCACTGGAAGGGATATCTGGCAATCTGACGCTCAAAAGTGCAACGCTGTGGCACTTCGCTGACCAAGAATTCCACTTTCCTCGATGTCTCGGTTGTGTTCCATGTGGACGAGGTTGCCGACTACACGACACTGTTTGTCTGACACACTCTTGCCTTACCCTATGTTGCAGAGGGGTGATTTGGTCATCACAGTTATAGTGATCCCCACTATAGTACATATAGGGACATGGCCATATCGCTGGTCAATATCTTTTGGGGCTCTGGTAAGCGTAGGGCCAGGGTTCCTAGCCCCATTGGAGTCAAATGGAAGGCGCACTACTGAATATTCTCAAAATGACGAAACGGCTGTCAGAGCCCTATCCAGATGTGTGATGACTGTGTGACTGCGTCTATTTGTGATGGTTTCAACTGTTACACTTTAACGTTGGCTGCCATGTGATTTGACGCTTGGTCGACACACTGCCACCATGTGGGGACGTCTTTACCCTGTGTCGTCTCTAAGCCAAGTCATTCGCGGAAGTAATGACCATATCAGGCATGTAGACGGAGGAGCAAAACAGTGAAGGTTTGGAACATATCTGCACCAACCCGCAGGGCATCTTGAAGAAACTTAGGGTCAGACAGCTGCAGTTGACCGGAAAAAATGGACTCTCACACAATCTCCGGTTCTTATTAGGTCATTTGATGACGCAGCTGGGGAATCGGTAACTTTCTTGTGGCATTCCTTGGACGTTCGATGGCAGAAGCAAACGCAAACAGTCTACTGAGCTGCCCCAGTCACACCCGTCTACATTCTGTATGTTCGTGGAGGTATTACCGGCCTTACATTCACTCGACCAAATGAACTTGCGGGACAGCACCTTGTATAGCACACGGCTTGTCTGTCCTAGGTGGAGTGGCCACATCGCGGCATCGAAACAACTGGTTGTGCGGTCGCACGCGCGTATGTGACCCTTCCACTAAAATCTTGGTCAAATCCAATTGGCACAGGCACTAGAGGTGTCGCGGTAAGTCTCAACACATTTTTGCTTACCTGAACGAGCGGCTGGGTAATACGCCGATGGTACAAGGCTGAATTCAGTGGTGACTTTTCCTGGCATCACCTTTGAAGGAGTGACAACACGGGGAAGCAACAAACCACGGATACGAAAGGGTGTCAGATGGACCAGGGGTACGCTTTGCAGCTCACTCACAGTGCTTGCACCTTTTAGTGGGGCTCGTACTGGAACTATGCTGCACCGAGTACGCACGATAGTTTGGAGAACACTGATCGCTTCTCAGACGCCTACGCAAGCTAGAACATCAGCAACTGGGTTACGAACCTTGGTCATCTGGACCGTGCTGGATCAGTGTGCTCCCCGTTTAGCAGCTATCCCTACCTGAAGAGTGCGCGGAATGCACCGTTGAGTGCAGCGGTTGTAACGGGGCATCAAGGGACCTGAATCCTTTCCTCTAACGGACCATATGAATGGGTTTAATTCTCAGTCCATAAAGGCCACGAAACTTTGCCAAGGTATATAGCGACACGCCGAAGATTCTGTGAAATTCATTGATGGTGACACCTAAGATGACGATACGTAACGACTTAAACAACTTCATCCTTTCGATCGGAATGGAATACACATTTTTGTGGCTTTACAATATATGCATTCGGACATCTCCTAGTCTCACTGTGTCCGCAATTTCCCCAATCCTGCTAAGAAGCGACAGTATACGGATTATATTACCTACCGCAATTCTGTTCACACATTAGCGTGCATTCCAGCTAGGGAACTCCGATTTTCAGTACAACGGCAGTCGGGTGATTCGCACACTGATGTGCTCCCCGAACACAGCAGATATTGCAGTCTTGTCGCTATGTCCTGTTGCGGTATGTGCAGGCGCAAAATCGCTGGAAAGATGTTCAGCTATAGGCATGATTTCACTCGTAGTATCATCACAGAAAAAGCATAGACCGATAATGCGAGCATTCCTTGATCAGATCAAAGGAATCTCTGAAGTCTTAGGCAATGAATGCCCAGGAGCCTGCGAACTGATTCTAGGGGCTTGGCCAGTCACTTTGCAACATTGTACATGCACCTATTTGGTCGCAATTGTACACCTGCTTTGTGCAACTTCGGCGCACCTCTGTTCCCACTAGTTTCAAGTGATATCAACCCCCTGTACCAACAAAAGAGAAACAAAAATCGCCCGCGGATCGAAAGGCAAAGTTCAAAAGGAGACATACGACAGACAGGCCGGACGACCGATGTTTGCGATCGTCGAGACTCTCGAAAATGCATACGCACGCTGCTATCTTCCGGGCTGTGTCAAGATGGCGAACTAGAGTTGAAAGTCACTCGTCGCCAGAACATATGCCTGCCCGGAGAGACCAGTATCATGGATATGGCGCTGGGTGGTCTGCACTCCTCGCTGACGCATTCCATATTTTTGGCCACTGCGAATTCCATGAACTTGTGGGATTTAATGCGATAATATTGCTTTGGGAAGTTGCACTGTGGTCATCAAGCCCATGTTATTGTGCTAGCAGCCGGCCAAATCCCGGCTTACTTGTCTCCAGCAAAACCCCAGCTCACCATCGTCACTTGATCGAAGGACCACTATATCAAGGTGTTCAATGTGGCTCCGAACTCTTCCGGGCTTTTAACACTTACCTTCGACCTAGAACCGCCACATTACGATGGCATCAAGTCTCTCGCACTGCATGGTAACATGCTATTTTCTAGCTCCCGACATGCATCCATCAAAGTGGAATTTGGGACCAGCTGGACGTCCGGAAGTCATGTTAGCGCAAGCTCATAAGGATCGGATGCAGAGGTTGTCATTCACACCGGACGGTATGAACTGGATCAGCGATATTCGTAGGGGCACCTTAAAGCTGTGGAATGTGGAGGACTGCATGTGTCTCGGTGAGCTCTTAAACGCGCATGAGGGAGCGATCAACGCTGTCCGAGCCTGTGGCGATCGCATTTTCACCGCCGGCAGCAAAAAAGATGTGCGCTTTTGGCGACTTCTGGACTCCGCACGGTGTTGTAGTGACCTTTAGTCTCTTGCCTCTTGGATCGCTCACAGTGAACATGTGGATTATTCAGTATCTGTCGCGGAATGCATCAAACTCTCGTACTGTCCCACGTCAAACGCCATCGCATTTATCCCGGTCATTTTACTGCACACTTTATTCTGTATCCCACCTCCGTCGCCAGAAATATGTTGTGGTTTCCGCTGACCTTACGGATAATCTGCCTGAATCAGTTATGCCGCTCCCAACCAGTTCAACTCGCAACGAAATGAGAACGCCAAGACCAGCCGGACCGAGGGATTCCTGTTCTATGGGAGCATGGCGCAGTAAATAGGTTGTAGGAAACGAATAACACAACAACATTGGAGTTGCTAATTAAAAAATTAACACAACTCACACGGTTCAAGTCCATAGTCTAACTTTCGCTGATTCCACATAGATTTGCATTTTGGTCTCTACTTGAGTTCGATCTCCAATTGTAGATCGATCAACCCTTGCGCCACTGCTCTCGGCTTAAACGCTGGGTGTAAGCTATCTCGCAAAGATCACTAGGCGCAAGTCGAAGAAGTCACTTACAAAAGTCAACTGCCTATGAGCACGGTAGACGGTTCAATAGAAGAGTACCCAACGCACATAACCGCACTGACGATACCACCACGTGTGTGGGAAAACCACATACGACCACCTAACCAAGGTCGTCGAACCAACAGATTCGAAACACCTGTCCAAATCGTCGTATTGGAGCTGTGTGCCGGTTACTAGGACCTATGTGACCTGTTCGATGGAACTCGGTGCCTCATCGGTGGACTGTGTACCATGTGCTTCCCACAAATCCATTCGTCGCTCAGACTCGGGACAGCTCGTTTATTTCATATCCAAATCGCTGTGCCGTTATGCGCAACACGTACTGCGACGCCAATACGTCACTATTTCGACTGTTGTACCCACTCAACCATAGTATGTGTAACAGAATTATCGGTTACCGTAGGTGGAATGCCACTCCGCCGCACGTCAAGCACGCTGTAACCCGGTCTAGCTTTACCAGGTCGCGGACGATGAGCTTGCCTCAGTGAGTTCGGTGCGCGTTTGCGCTTGGCCGGTGCGGTGTACGAGCTCTACTCCGCCATGGTTTAGTGACGCGCAAACTCGTGCTATGCGAAGTGGCCCCATCAATGGATCTGATATCCATTTAGCATCATCCACCATACGGCATCCAGTGACTTCGCTGGCTGCATGGGTCACATGACGCGTGTCCACGCGTTATTCAGTTGCACCCTGATTCGCACGGATTCGGCGAGACCAGAGATTCGGGCCTGGTCACACTTCATGCGGTTCCTGCGCACTCTGGGTGCTCGCTGTAAAATATGCAATTCGTCCGTGTAGCTGACTTGTGTCTACGGTGCGGGAAAAGATCACCTTTGAGGTAAATGACGCAGTAGCTGGCGTTAAAATCCCCTGTTCTGAGCAAGAAAAGTGGTGTGTTTGCTGCTCCATATTGATTCTAAATTTAGGTAATGGACTTTAGGTAGATCTCGCTGTTCATGACCTCATCAGATGAATCTAGTGCATCCGGATCCGCTGCTCTCTCTCTTTTGTACTGCTAATTTGATAATGGTCCAACGTCCGCATAAGACTTTATCACCCTACAGAAAGGCTCACATGTATTTCATTAAGCCTAACATGACCCGCTAACAGTTACATCAATTACAAATGTCTCTCGAGTAATAAATTGTGTTTTCTACATTTCTCTCTCGAAGCCAAGCTTGGGGCCGAATGTCACGAAGCCTGCGACCAACCATTCGGGTGCTGGGGTCCAGGTCCAGACCAATGCGTACGATGCCTCCACCGAAGAGCTGGAAGGCATCGATGTGTGATGTCATGTGACGGCCTCAGTGGATTTATGTCTGATCGTTTGTCTGTACCGGCGCCCGTCGATCCAGACTCTGGTGAAGGACATGATAGCCACAAGTCATTGGGAAACGGAACAATCGACACAGCACTGGGCTCTGTGGACGCAGATTACACATGTCTTCCGTGTCATCCGGAATGCCTTCAAACATGCTCCGGTCCGGGCGCACATCAATGCATCGGGGATTGTAAAACCGCTTGGGTAAGCAAGTGATCATTCATTGTGTGCGGTCTAGCTCACGAGTTGTGTGTTTGAGTAATCTCTACTGGCCACTTCCATGCAGTTTACCTTAG